CATGTCCACCATGGGCACCCCTGCTGGTACAGTCTCCAGCCTCACAACAACATGCAAGCCACAGCAGTATGACAAACTGACAGACAAGTTCATCTCTCTTAGCTGTTCCAACCACTCAGCTCATTTCCTGGTCTTCCTCCTACCTGTTCCTGCTGGCCCTGTCTGTCGCTGCTCCCTGCTACCTTGGGGGATGGCCCCCAAGCCTCCTGCACTCCTTACCTGTTCTGGCCACTGGCCCTGTCTGCCACAGCTCCCTGCCATGCTGGGGGCTGTCTTCTGACCTTCTCACTTATTCTGGCTGCCAGCCCTGTGGTTGGCATATTCGAGTATATTGTTACAGTTATTGTGCCAATCCATTTCACCAACCATCTCCATTGCCCTTTCTGGCCCTATACTTCGCCAAACATGATGTTATCCACCAGCAAATTGAACCCTCCTAATGTTGTGTTCCTCGGAAGGAAGGTTGGGCAATCCTACTTCCTCGAAAACCCAAGGAGGGGTCGCTATGAGTCGGGGCCGACTCGACGGCACATAACAACAACAACAACAATGTTGTGTTCAAAGCAAGGAAATTGGACAGTGTTCTACTGTGATCTTTAACATCTTCTTTGGCAAATTTTCAGAAGTAAATGACCAGGTCTTTCTTCCTAGTCTGTCTTAGTCTGGAAGCTCCACTAAAATCTGTTCACTAGGGGTGATCTGGTGGTATTTGAAATACAGATGGCATAACTTATAACATTATAATAAATGCTAAGCCACCACAGTATGACAAACTGATAGATGTTTGGCAAAGAAACCATTATACTGTTTGCTATATGAAGAATGAATTGGAATGGATCCAATGAGTATTTACAGGCTATTGCAGCAGATTTGCTTAAAAATGAAGATAGCTTAGATTAAGATGTCATTGTTTTTAGGTTCTGTCAAGTTGGCTCTGACTCAGAGCAACCCTATGTACAAGAGAACAAAACACTGCCCAGTCATGTGCCATCCTCCCAATCATTGCTATAATTAAGCCCTTCATTGCAACTGCTGTGTTCATCCATCTTGTTGAGGGTCTTCCCTTTTTTAGCTGACCCTCTACTTTACCAAGCATGATATTATTCTGCAGGGACTGGCTCCTTCTGACATGACCAAATATATGAGATGAAGTCTGGCCATTCTTGCTTCTGAGGAGCAGTTCAACAGCACTTCTTCCAAGATGGGTTTGTTTGTTCTTCTGGCAGTCCATGGTATTTTCAGTATTTTTTGCTAACACCATAATTCAAATGCATCAATTCTTCTTAAATCTTCCTTATTTGTTGTCCAGCTTTCACATGAATATAAGGTAATTGAAAATACCATGGCTTGAGTCAGGCCAATGCTAAAATGCATTTCAAAGTGATGTCTTTGCTATTAAACACTTTAAGTAGTTCTTTTATAGAAAACTTGCTCAGTGCAATATGACATCTGATTTTTTGACCACTGCTTCCATGAATATTGATTCTGGATCAAAATAAAATTACATCCCTGAAAAGTTCAATCTTTTCTCCGTTTGTCATGATGTTACTTGCTGATCCAATTGTGAGGATTTTTGTTTTCTTTATGTTAAGGTGTAATCCACAGTAAAAGGTGTAGTCTTTGGTCTTCATCAGTAACTTCTTCAAGTCATCTTTACTTTCAGCAAGCAAGATTGTGTCATCTGCATATCACATGTTGTAAATTAATCCTCCTCCAATAATGATGCCACATTCTTCATATAGTCCAGCTTCTCAGATTATTTGCTGAGCATACAGATTGAATATGGTAAAAGGATACTACACTGATGCAAACCTTTCCTGATTTTAAACCATTCAGTATCTCCTTGTTCTGTTCAAATGACTACCTCTTAGTATAGATTCCTCATGAAAACAATTAAGTGTATGTATATATATATACACATACATACATATATACATATACATATACATATACATATATATATATATGTATCTCCTAATTTATATATGTTTGTTTAATATGCATAGAAATTAATATAATTTTTTTAAAAAAAAGATTTAAAAAGAATTTTTATATTTTATTGGCTTTTCAAAAGTTCTTCAATAAACACATACTTCGGAAAACAAATACTGATGTGCAGAAAATATAACACTGTAAGTTGGGTTTGCAAGTGGTTTGGGTTTACAATGAAACATTGAGTTGAAACCAAGAGTAAAAAATTTCCAATAAGACCCATAATAAATGTTTTCCTTAAGATACAAAAATGTGTTTCTCACTTTATCAAAATTCATTTTGCAAAATAAGATAAAATTATTTTTTAAAATAGTATCAGAAACATTAAGATGATAAATTGTAAATAAAAGTTTTGAATTCAAATACTTATAAAAAATATTGAAAAAGTTTTTCTAACATGGTGACATAGATTTATATGAATTTTTTTCAGCTGCATTAAACATTTAAATAAAAGAGCATCTACCTGAGGAGGGTGCGTCTCTGTGCCTGTTTCTTCAAGTAAATTCTTTGAACATACAAGTTTGAAAAGAATTATATATTCTGATAATACTTTTTATGGCCATACTGCTCTGAGTAGGGCCCCAAAACTGCTCCACATTTCACAATAATGCAGCCTATTACTTAGCTAGTCCTGTCTATTCAGTAAATACCATAAATCCAAGGCTCAGCAGGTGTAATTCAGAGACTCCTACAAATGTCACCTGCCACTGTAATTTCCACACCACATTTTATAATAGGTCTCACAGAGGAGCTATACTGCTATTATTTTTTCCATAAAATATGTCCCTTTGTGACTTCCTAGTCATATTTTTATGCTAATCTTCTTAGTTTCAGAAATACAAAGAAAAATTGGTGCTAAACTGTTTTAAATCAATATAGAGCAGATTAAGGACAGTTCCATATTGTCACTGCTTAGCATAAAAATTTTAACATTACTGCATTAACATACACATATTGTATTTATATTGCTATTAAAATTATGTGATTTATACCTATTATGTTGATTATAAATATTATGTAATCTCTGAATACTTGGCATAATTCATATACATGTAAGATTGCCTAATAGATGTACAATAATGAAAGGGCTTTGAAACATATATTAGTCTCCAAGTCTGCCACTCACTAGTTACTCTATAATCACTCACCACTTTCTAAATTTCTTTACTTTCTAGACTTTTTCTTTTCTTTTTTTTTTTTGGATCCAACTCATAGCAACTCCTCCTTGGGTTTCCGAGGCAGTGTCTGTATAGAAGTAGATTGCCAAATCTCCCTTCCAAGGAGTGGTTTGTGGGTTTGGCCTTCTGGTTAGCAGTCAAATACCTTCAGCACATTGCCACAAGAGTTCCCTTTTCTTTTCTAGTCTCTTATTTTCTAAGCATCTATTACAAGGGTGGCACAATGGCTGAGCATTAGGCTACTCACTGAAAGGTCATTTGTTCAAACCCTCAGCTGCTCCATGGGAGAAAGATATGGCAGTCTGAGTCTGCAAAGATTACAGCCTTAGAAACTCTACTCTGTCCTACAGGTTGCTATGAGTCAGAATCGACTCAACAGCAACAGGTTTGGTTTTGGTATCTGTTCTTATAGAGTTGTATCAGGTCCCAATATATAAAACAATCTTTATTTATTCAAGAGTTTCTTCATGTTCCTTTATAGCTATCTCACTAGATCACATTATCTTTTCCCACAAACCTTATCTACTGCCACTCAAGCTTAGCTTAGATGTAAAAGTTCTTTTCGTTTTCATGCCTGTTTTTCTTGCTTATCAACATCTTTCTCTTCACTTTCTACCTGAAAACCTTCAGATGTTGAAAAGGTTCCTTCATCCTTCAATCATAATCAATCACTTATTGGTCTGGCTATCACAGAAAGTAACTATCTCTAATCAATTATACTGTTGTTATTTGTTGTCATTGAATCAGTTCTAACTCATGACAATGCCATGTGCACAGAATCGAACTATTCCCGAGGGTGTTCAAGGCTGTGATCTTTGGGAAGCAGAGCACCAGCATTGTCTTCTCAGGCATCTTTGCATGGGTTTCAACTGCCAGCTTTTCATCTAGTAATTGAGAACTTAACCATTTGTGCCACCCAGGGATCCCAATCAAATATAGTACAATTTATTAATCTACTGTATCCATCATGAGATTTGTATTTATTTCAAGTTAGTGATGTCCTGTTAACATCCTTTTTATTTTAATCTCTAGAGTCTATTGTAGTTCTTTGTTCTGGAAAAGTACTAAAGAAATTCTGTTTGTTTGTTTTTTTAAATTTATTTATTCTTTAGTTTTTTAATTTTTGCAGTGTTCTCTCCCCTAAGAAATTCTTATAAAATTTTTTTGACTGCTCAATTTATCTCTCACTGAATTGGGCTTTCTTGTACTTGACTGATGAATGGTTCAGTATGAAAGAGTCAGAGTATTTGGCATCATAAGATAGTAGTAAGGCAGTACCTGAGAATTAACAGGTTGGGTGTAAACCCTCAGGAAAGCAAAAGTAAAGGACATTGGATGACTTCAATATGGATATGACACCCAATCAGTATTAGGAATAAACATCTGCTTTCTTTGTACCTATCATATTTGCCATGGAGAGGTAATGGGGTAGCAGCCATAATGAAACAATGAGCAGAGTAACATGTAAGCCTACTCTTGTCCATCTAAATCTCTTTTTATCAGGGTTGATTTATCTGGTTCCTGACATCTTTTCATTTCTAATCAGACTCTGAAGGAAATCGTATGCTCTATGTCTGCCTTATAGCTAAACAACACAACCTTGTCTGCATATCAAAATATTTAAAAATAAATTGTGTGCCAATGATTAGGTTTCAATACATGTACTTTTTATAATATTTCTCTGTCTAAAAATAAGTAATTAACTTTTATTAATTTTGAGAAATGAAAAGGGCACACACATATAAATAAATATCAAATGCATACACATTCACACACTTACCTGCACAAATTTTAAAGAAAACTAACTTTACATTGACTTTTTTGTTAAAGCACCAACGATCACATGAAGATCCAGCTGCCCTGAGGTTTAATTTCTATGAAGTTATTACAACAGGACATTTGGCTCCATCTGACTTAAAAACTTTGCAGAGGAGATGCTTGGTACCTGGATGGTATGCAGTCCACATAGAAAGATGGCTAACTTATTTTGCTACTTCTCAGGTAATGGTCTTAAATTAATTTCTCATGTCTATTAGGTCATGATTGTGTTGCATCCACAAGCACAAAGTATAAGTTAGCATTGACACAAATAGTGACTTATAATCAGAGAAAGTTAACAGTAAGAAACAAATGTGGATTTTTACACTTTAGTCTTGATAATAGTATTAAAATGTTGTTAAATACTTCTGAAGACACATTCTTGGGATTGTCTGTTGAATGGAAACTAGTCTCAAAGTGATGAATCCTCACACAAGAAGCATCATGTGATTCATGGGCAACCACATTCATCTAATAAAAAAACAGCCAGTCAGTCAACACTTTTTTGGAATATATGTACACATACTTTTGTGTTCTAAGGCCTGTGGGGCCTTATAAGGAAAGAAAGAGACCATGCAATGAACTGTCAATAAGGAAAGTGCTATAATAGATCTGGGGCCATAGAATAGTAAAAGCTATAGGGTGTTCAGGAAAAACATATAACTTTATGTCCTATATTCCAGCCCAGGAAACAGTTAGCACTTGAGTTATTTGGCATGGTTTCTAAGGAGAACAGAAGCATGATTTTCATCCTGATGTACATTGTTTCTAAGTCCTTAGTTCCAAGATTTAACTCATGGAATTTTGATAGGCTATGCAACTGACTAATTGATAACACTACAGATGGAAGATCATGTTTCTACAGAAAAAAAATGAATCAAGAGTGTTTCTATGCTTATCTCTGATTTATGATAAAGTTAAGGGATATAATTAGATAATGAACAAGAAAGGATGCCTATGGCCAGTTTCAATTGTTATTTGGAAGGGCAAAGATATAGTAAATATTAAAATGAATGTATTCTAAGGACTTCACATTTTCTTCTTATTCACACTGGCCCAATTTATTACCATCATACTAGGTCAAGGGAGGCAACTCAGATACTCAATTTAGTCTTATTCTTCATAAAGTGGCTATTTTTTACTTCACAGTTACTAATTATTGATGGACAGCAGTTGAGATCTGACCCAGCCACTGTGATGGATGAAGTCCAGAAATTTCTGGGAGTTACACCTCATTATAATTACTCTGAAGCACTAACGTGAGTCTATTCTCATGCATGATTTCATTTCCATTGTTTGCCATCATAAATTATCACTGGTAGGTGTGTATATAGTATCATTAGTACTGGCCATTTATATATCATTATGCTATTCAAGAGCAGTCAAAGAAATATCCTCATTTTTCACGTAATATCTCCTTTTGGAATACCAGGAATATTTTCTCTCATAAAGTATAATCTTTCAAGCATTTCATATTATCACAGATTCTTCTTTTTGTGGGATTTTGCCTAATGTCAGTTTGTTTAAGTAAAGCTTTTTACATACTTCCTCATTGCAGAAAGTGTTCTAGGATTGAGGTTACAAAGGTGAAGAAGATATAGTCTTTTCCCCTGAGTAACTTACAGGTTTGGACTGAAATGCTGAAGACCATTGTTATTCTTGTAGCAATCTTTAGGGAAGACTTGAGGAATGGCTACATTCATTTATTACTATGCAATTATTAAATTATTTATAACTAAATACTGTCATTGATGTTGCTGTTAGGTACTATAGAGTGAATTCCAACTCATGGCAACCCCAAGTCTGCAGAGTAGAGTTTTGCTCCATAGAGTTTTCAAGGATGCAACCTTCAGACGCAGATCACCAGGCCTGTCTTCTTAGGTGCCACTGGGTGGGTTCAAATCTCCAATCTTTTACCTGATAGTCAAGCTCTGAACTTTTTGCACCACCCAAGGACTCCAAATATAATCATATATAATATATATAATCATGTATAATGTTCCAGTTATTTATTCTTGGACAGATAAAAAACTTCAAACTGACTGGCATGTAACAACAGCCATTTTATTAAGCTCATGTGTTCTCTAGGTTGGGAATTTGGACAGGGAACTATGGGGATAGCTTGTCTGTGCTCCATATCAGAAACCAAAACTGGGAAAATTTGATTATTTGGGAATAATTTAAATGAACAGAGACAGAAATTAGTTGGAAGCTTCTTCAGTTACATGTCTGACTCCTGGGCTGGGATGACTCAAACGCTGAACTCAGTGGGACAAGACATCTCCATGTGGCCCCACAAGCAAGGTTTGCATTTTTCACTATTCAGTTGCTGAGTTGTCAGAGAGATTAGCCTGAGCGTAAATGTCTAAGAAGTTTGTGCTCCAAGATCCAAGACCTTCTCTGATCTAACCTTGCAAGTGACACAGCATCATTTATGTGACATTCTATTGGTTATAACCAAGTCACTAAAACCAGGCCAAATCAAGGCCAGGGAAATTAGAGTCCATCTTCTGATAAAGAGTGGCAAATTCATTTTGCAGAAGAGAATGAGGGATACAAGATATTATTGTAGTCACTTAGAAAAATAAAATCAGTCCTGTATAACTTGGATAATTAAAAATGAAGGAAAAAACAAACCGTAAAGAAGCAGCTAAATAACAAGGGGAAATAAAAACCTCCAAGTAGTCAAAGCATATTTTTAAAAGGCATGTACTTTATTTATAAAAGAGTCCTCCACAAAGTCTGATATAAAGCATATTTAATTTTATATAAAATTCTGACATGCCTCATTATGTAATTTCCTAGTTCACAGCAGATTATAATCAGCAATTAGACAATTAGAGAAGGTAATGGAGAGACAGGAAGCACAGTAATAAGATTGGATTGTTCCTTATCCACTAAAACAATTCTAATGAAGATTTTAGCTGTACATAGAAATGAAAACAACTCAAGGCATGCTCCTGTTGATTAAATAGACATACAATATACTAGATAATATGTTATAATGTAGAAGATATAAGATAATATAAAACAAAAGATAATATGTTTTGCATTAATAGTTATCATTGATAGCATATCTTCCTCTGGTTTTCTTCAGTAGTTTAGGTAATGATTCTATCATGTTTACTACAAATAGTGGCTTATGATTCAATAAATCCATAAAGTGACACTTTTGAAGATTACAAACAAGTGTGAAATATGATTTTTAGTATATCTCACACATCACAAAATTAATAACTATAGTGACATTCAACATAAGAAAAGAACTAAAATGACAACCAACTTATGTCCTAAAAGATGTCTAACAGTTATTTGAAAAAAGCTTTGCATCTTAATTTCACAATTTCATGCCTACTAAAATAAAATCGTAAAGGAATGAATGGCTATAACTTAGAGAGGATAAATGTCCTTTGTTAGGCTTAGGGTATACAAAGTTGTCAATGCAATAAATAACACCAGGACAGCAAAATAATGTGGATTCAAGGTTATGACAACTCAATCTAAATAAGTAAGTTTCAATATTCTGGAGGCTCTCCTTCCTCAGGTTGTAGTGAGCTGCACCTCGCATCAGCTGCTGTGGAGAGCAAGAAGAGATGGCAGTCCATCCAGAGGATGGATAGCTTTTTTTAATGTAAAGACAATATTCTCAGAGTGTCTATAAATATCTTGTCTTTGTATCCAGAGCGGTATTTTACCTTAATGCAGTTAAATATTCTCTTCCTGAAGCAGAAAACAATGTTTAGGGGCACTGTTATGCCAACTTCCCTTCTTATTTTGCACTGCATGTTGAACTCTTTTTCCTCTAGGGAAATTAATGAAAACTAGAGAAAGAACTCTGATAGGCAAGGAGCAGATTGAAAAGTCCAGGTTGGAAATGACTCTGTCTTCCTTTTATCCATTTAACCAGTGATGTATTTAATTTTAATTGATAACATGTACTAGGGCAACCTGGACTGCAAGGATCAGGTCTCTAATAATAGTCTGGACAGGGAACTGTGAAGAAAATTTCCCTCTCCCCCTAAATGAGTTCACATATGTGCAGAGGCAAATTGCAGGTGCACGGGTATTATAGGAATGGGCCCAGGGCAACAAAATATTCTGCAACTAATTAACTTTACATCTCAGTCAATTATGCTTCATCCTTCTAAAACATCTGCTGAGCAACAAAAATGCAAACCTTTTCGATGTTTTATGCATGCAGCAAGTCCCATAGCAATAAATTTAAAATTTCTCGTCTTATTTGGTTCATTCTTTCATTTTTCTTACCTTGTTAAATCCTAAACAAAAACTCATATATTTGAGTTTAAACAAAATAATTTGGCCACATATCCTCCCTTTTTAACAGTGGAGTTCTTGAAGAAGTAAAAACAATATTAGACTTTTCTTTAAAAGTGTACAACCCTGAATTAACCAATAGAATCATTTGCCTTCAACAAAGGAAATAAAGGGTTGTCTGATCTCTCATACACCACATAAAGTCTGTTTCATGTGATCTAAAATAAATAATAAGTTACATTTTTACACTTTTAATTTGTTTCTTGAAAAGTATAAAAATTTTGAATTGTAAAATTTAGATTTTTTCCATATTTTAAACCATTTGCTCATATGTCACATGAGTAGAACCACTCCATACAACTTGTAAGGCAGTATTCTTTATGTAAAAGGATCCCTGGTAGCACGATGGTTAAGAGCTCAGCTTTTAACTGGAAAGTTGGTGGTTTGAAACCACCAGCCACCCCATTGGAGAAAATACCTGGCAATCTTCTCTGTAAACATTTCAGCCTAGGAAACGCTATGTGGCAGTTCTGCTCTGTCCTGTAGGGTTGCTATGAGTCAGAATCAACGTCACATCACACAACAACAATAACAATCTTTATGGAAGCAAATCACCAATACTTTATTCTTCAGCACCATTGGGTGGGTTCAAATCACCAAACGTTAAGTTAGTAGATGAGTGTAAACCATTTGTGCCACCCAAGGACCTTTCAAATTTATGGAGGCTTAATTCCTGTTTATATTCAGAGAGAAGGATATTTAAGTTACATTTAGCCAAATTAATATACATCAATTGAATGATTTTAAAGCAATTTGTTCATGTGTTTTGGGAGATAAATCCTATTAATAAGTTAAAAAAAAAAAAAATTTTCCTTTATATATGAACTGCAATTCTAATGATTGATACTTGATCTTTTATGAATCTATATGTAAAATATCTACCACTCATCTGTCAGTTTGTCGTACTGTGGTGGCTTTCTTGTTGCTGAGAGGTTGGAGGCTATGCCACCAGTATTTTAAATACCAGCAGGGTCACCCATGGTGGACAGGTTTCAGCAGAGCTTCCAGACTAAGACAGACTGGGAATAAGGACAGAGCCATCCACTTCTGGAAAAAAGTGGCCATTGAAAACCTTATAAATAGCTGTGAAACACTGTCTGGTATATTATTGGAAAACTTTATGAAAAGCCATGAAACATCATTTGATATAGTGCCAGAAGATGAACCTCTCAGGTTGGAAGGCACTTAAAATGCAACTGGGAAGAGCTGCCTCCTAAAAATGGAGTGAATTTTAATGATGTGGATGGAGTAAAGCTTTGGGGACCTTCATTGGCTGATGAGGCACAACTCACAATGGGCAGAAACAACTGTTAACATTCATTATTAATTGGAACGTAGAATGTATAAAGTATAAATCAAGGACAACTGGAAGTTGTCAAAAATTAAATTGAACACATAAATATTGATATCAGCAAGAGTGAGCTGAAAGGGACTGGTATTGCTGTTTTGTATCAGACAATCATATGGTCTACTATGTTGGGAATGAAAAAGCCAAGAAGAATGGCATGACATTCATGGTCAAAAAGAACATTTCAAGATTTACCCTGAAGTAAAATACTATCAGTGATAGGATGATATCATATGCCTATTTTTAACAACTTCTGCAGTCTGGATTGAGCAAACATGCAATCAAGATGAATTTATAATTACTGGTAATAGGGAAGCAAAAGGTGGAAACAAAGGAGAATCATAGGTAGTTGGAAAATTTGGCCTTGGTGATAGAAATGACACTGGAGATCACATGATAGAATTTTGCAGCACCAACAACTTATTGATTGCAACAATTATTAATTTTCAACAATATAAACGGTAGCTATACATGTAGAGCTAGCAAGATGGAATACAGAGGATAAGATTGCCTAAATCTGTGGAAAGATGCGATGGAGAAGCTCAATATCATTAGTCAAAACAAGGCCAGGAGCTGACTGTGGAACAGTCAATTCTTCATATTCAAGTTCAAGTTGAAGATGAAGAAAGTTAAAACAAGCCCATGGGAGCCAAAATACAATCTTTATCGTATCCCATCTGAGGAATAGATTGATGCATTGAACACCAATGACTGAAGACCAGACAAGTTGCGTAATAACATCAACTACATCAAACACGAGGAAAGCAAAACGTTTTTAAAAAGACAGTAAAGGAAGAAAAGACAAAAATGGATGCCAGAAGAGACTCAGAAACAGGCTCTCAAACATAGAGCAGCTAAAGCTAATGGAACAAATGATGAAAAAAAAAGGAACTGAAGAGATTTCAAAACGTGGCTAAAGAAGACAAAGTAAAGTATTATAATGGAATGTGCAAAGACCTGGAGCTAGAAAACCAAAAGGGAAGAACATGTTCAGCATTTCTCAAGCTGAAAGAATTGAAGAAAAAATTCAAGCCTCAATTTGCAATACCGAAGGATTCTGTGGGCAAAATATTGAGTAAAGAGAGAAGAATGAAAAAAAGATTGAAGGAACATACAAAGTCACTGCACCAAAAAAAAAAAAAAACAACAAACTGGTCAATATTCAACTATTTCAGGAGGTAGCATATGATCAAGACCTGGTTGAACTGAAAGAAGAAGTCCAAGCTGTACTGAAGTATCTGGCAAAAAACAATCTCTAGGAATTGACAAAATATACTTTGACGTGTTTCAACAACAAGATGCAGCTCTGAAGGCACTTACTCATTTAAGCCAAGAAATTAGAAAGACAGTTACCTTGCCAACTGACTGGAAGAGAATGATATTTGCACCCATTCCAAAGAAATGTGATCCAACAAATTTTGGAAATTATCGAACAATATCATTAATATCACATGCAAGTAAATGTTTGTTGATAATTCAAAGACAGTTGCAGCAAGGAACTTAACAGAAATTCAAGTTGGATTCAGAAGAGGATGTGGAATGAGGAATATCATTGCTGACATCAGATGGATCTTGGCTGACAGCAAAGCATACCAGACAGATATTTACTTGTGTTTTATTTACTATGCAAAGGCATTTGACTGTATGGATCATAAAAAATTATAGATAATGTTGCAAAGAATAGAATTCCAGAGTACCTAATTATACTCATGAGAAACCTGTATATAGACTGAGAGGCTGTCATTCTAACAGAACAAGGGGATACTACATAGTTTAAAATCAGGAAGGGGGTATGTCAGGGTTATATCCTTTCACCATACTTATTCAATCTTTCTGGTAACCAAGTAATCCAAGAAGCTGGACTATATGAAGAATGCAGCATCAAAATTGGAGGAAGACTCACTGACAACATGCAATATGCTGATGACACAGCCTTGTTTGTTGGAAACAAAGATGAGGCACTTACTGATGAAGATCAAAGACTACAGTCTGTATGGACTACACCTCCACATAAAGAAAAGGAAAATCCTCAAAACTACATCAATAAACAACACTAGAATAAATGCAGAAAAGGTTGAAATTGTTAAGGATTTCATTTTACTTGGATCTACAACTGACACCCATGGAAGCAGCAGTCAAGAAATCAGAAGTCGTACTGTACTGGGAAAAATCTGCTGCAAAAGACCTCTTTAAATTGTTAAGAAGCAAAGATGTCACTTTGAAGATTAAGGTGCACCTAACCCAAACCATAGGAGCTCTGGTAGCATAGTGGCTAAAGCACTTGACTGCTAACCAGAAGGCTGGCGGTTCAAACCCACCAGCCACTCCTCGGAAGGAAGGTTGGGCAATCCTACTTCCGTAGTGATACTGCCTCGGAAACCCAAGGAGGGGTCGCTATGAGTCGGGGCCGACTCGATGGCACATAACAACAACAACAACAACAACAACCCAAACCATGGTATTTCCTATTGCTTCATACACTTGTGAAAGCTGGATCATGAACAAGAAAGATGGAAGAAGAGTTTATGACTTTGAACTATGGTGTTGGCTAAGAATAATGAGAATACCATGGATGACCAGAAAAATGAACAAATCTGTCCTGGAAGAAATACAGCCTGCATGCTCCTTGGAAGTGAGAATGGCCAGACTTCATCTCATTTACTTTGATCATGTTGTCAGAAAGGACCATTCTCTGGAGAAGGTAATCACACTTGGTAAAGTGGAGGGTCAGCAAAAAAAGGGAAGACACTCAGCAAGATGGACTGACACAGTGGCTGCAATGGTGTGCTCAAGCATAGCAAGGATTGTGAGGATGACACAGGACAGGGCAGTATTTTGTTCTTTTGTAAAGTCACTAGGAATTGGAGCAAATTCAACAGCACCTAACAACAACAGTTTGTAAAATGTTGAACTTAATAATTTCAGAATCAAATTGAATTACAGTTCTATAAGTCTTCTTAATTATGGTAGAAATTTATTTTATGTATATATATATATATATATATATATATGATATACATTATATCATATTGTTGTTGTTGTTATGTGCCGTCAAGTTGGACCCGACTCATAGCGACCCCTCCTTGGGTTTCTGAGGCAGTATCACTATGGAAGTAGACTGCCCCATCTTCCTTCCGAGAAGTCGCTGGTGGTTTTGAACCACCAGCCTTCTGGTTAGCAGTCAAGTGCCTTAGGCACTATGTTACCAGAGTTCCCATATTATATATTATGTATATAATTATTTTATATATAATATAATATATAAAAAAGCTCTGGTAGTGTAGTGCCTAAAGGGTTTGACTGCTAACCAGAAAGCTGGAGGTTCAAACCTACCAGCCACTCCGCAGAAGGTTCCATAGTGATACTGCCTCAGAAACCCAAGAAGAGGTCGCTATGAGTCAGATACAACTCGATGGCAATGAGTTTGTTTGTTTGTTTGTTTGTGATATAAATAACAATAAACAGATTCTTTATTCTAAAAATCTAGAATCAGCTCAATAAATACTTGTAAAATTCAGTTGATAAAATAAAGCAATAGGCCTACAAGAAAGAATTTCATTTATCTAAATGGAGAGGCTTTCTAACTCAAAAGTCTCTATACAATTTATAATCATAATATGTTTTATCTATTGCAGGTTTGATCCCCAAAAGGGCTTTTGGTGTCAACTATTGGAAGGAGGAAAAACCAAATGTCTTGGAAAAAACAAAGGCCGAAAATATCCTCCTATGGATCCAGCGGTAATATTTTCCATTATCTTTGAATTACTCTGATAATCCTGTGTATACAGTGATTTCAAAACTAGTGACATGAAATTTACTTTCTCTTTTCTACCCTTCCCGTACTATCAATAGTTTTATGTATTTAGAAGTGAGACAGACAGACAGACATTGATGGACAGTAGCTTAAGAGCTATCCCTAGATATTTTTTGCTCCTGTAATTCAATTCAAACATAAAATACTGAATAGTTTAGTAGGAGCAATGTATAAAGAACTCAAATTATTCATGAAACAATTGATTTGGAGTAAAATATACAAGTATTATTTATATATATCCAATATATTGTCTCCAATATATTGTATCCAATATCTCCACCATACATGGTATAGAACTAAGCACTGGCAAGGATTCATGGATAAAACAGTTATGAACCCTGATTTATTATATAAAAAAATTAGTTATGGACACTGATTTATAATGGAATGGATAAAACAATGACAAACTAAATCACAGAAACAAACACACACACTGCCATCAAGTCGAATCCAAATCATAGTGACCACTCCTTGGGTTTCCGAGTTGGTATCTGTATGGAAGTAGATTGCCCAGTCTGCCTTCCAAGGAGTGGCTGGTGTGTTTGAACTGCCAGCCTTCTGGTTAGCAGTCAAATGCCTTAGGCACCAGGCCACCAGAGCTCCCAAATTACAGAAAAGGCACAAAAAATCTTTCAATAGAAGTGCAGGTATGAGAAGAAACATTATGCATAGAAAAATCTGAAAAACTAGGGCTGGAAAAGGAACTCTGGTGGCACAATGATTTAGAGGAGCTAGACTACTAACCAAAAGGTTAGTGGTTCCCAACCACCAGCCACTCTCTGGGAGAGAAGATATGGTAATCTGCTGTATCTTTTCCCATAAAGATGACAGTTTAGGACACCTGATGGCATAGTTTTGCACTTTAAATTGTGTTGCTGAGTTGGAATTGACTTGATGGCATACAACAATAACAGCAACAGAGTTAGAAAACCAGTCAGCAATTGGCTTGGCCAGATGTAATGACTATCTCTCCTAAGTTAAGGTGGGCAGAGTGAGAGTGGATATAATTCAAGTGATACTATGGAAATAGAAGTACCAGAAGGTCCTTAAACTACCCCTTTGAACTCAATAATTTCAAAAAGAGTTTCAGAAATCACTTTAATCTGCCAAGAAATCAATGTAATGTTCCAACTACTTCAATAAACATCTTATCCAGAATTTGAAGTGTTTACAATATGGCTTAAGAGAAAAAATATAATAAAAATAACTAGTGAATGGTAGAAGACAATATATAGCTTTATTAAATCCATTCTACAGTTTACACAAAAGTTGCTAAGGGAATTACATGAAGAAATACATTGTGTTAAAGTATTGAGGAGAGCTTAAGAGAGATGATGGAAAATTGACCAGGTAGAGAATGATGTGTGGGCCATTGCTACCAGTATGTACACCAGGAAAGTGTTCATCTCTTCTATTTTATTGAAAAGGCATAAAAACTATTTTAATCAAGTTATAAATTGAGGTAAATGGCATCCAAAAAGGAAATCCAGTTCCAAATTTTCTTTTTTTCCCATAAATCTAAGTAGAGAAAAGTTGAACATAAAATTAAAGCCATTTATACATTTAATAATTTTTTAATCACTATATAACAAGGGTTAATCAATCTAGTATGACTAGTAATATATGAATCACAAAGAAAAGCAAATTTCAGAGTCCTACAATATTTTATATATTATTATACAAAATAATGGGAGCTCTGTAGCATAGTGCCTAAAGCACTTGACTGCTAACCAGAAGGCTGGCAGTTCAAACCTACCAGCCACTCCTTGGAAGGAAGACTGGGCAATCTACTTCCGTAGTGATACTGCCTCAGAAATCCAAGGAGGATTCACTATGAGTCGGGTCCGACTCTGTGGCACATAACAACAACGTAATATTTTGTAATATTTTAGGAGTAGAGATCTCTTGATTATTTAAAAAAAAAAAGAAAACTATTTTGGCCTGAAGGAGCTCTGGTAGCATACTGGCTAAGACACTTGCCTGCTAACCAGACGGCTGGCGGTTCAAACCCACCAGCCACTCCTCGGAAGGAAGGTTGGGCAATCCTACTTCCGTAGTGATACTGCCTCGGAAACCCAAAGAGGGGTCGCTATGAGTCGGTGCCGACTCGACGGCACATAACAACAACAACAACAACATTTTGGCCTGAAACAATATAGAAAGGTTTTATGTAATGTTACAAGCTATTTTTGTCATGAATTTCAACTGTTCTGATTATTTATGTTCTCTTCTTAAATTGTATTCTATGGGACTATATGGCAGAATATGAGCAATTTAAAAATGATCGTATATGTTTTATCTATTTTACTTCTGTAGATTTAGTTCTACATCAGTCCTCTACCTCATTCTTCTCCAATATGCTTTCTTCAACTTTTCTCACTATATAGAATTCATCAATCCTCCAATAAATAATGATAGATAAATCAAATAGGATACACCTGAGCTTATTTTTATTTTGGGGTCCCTGAGTGACATAAATGCTTAATACATTCTGCTGCTAACCAAACAGTGGGTGGTTAGAGTTCACCAAGAAACACCTCTGCAGAAAGACTTGTCAATCTCCATTCAAAAAATCAGTCATTGAAAACTCTGTGGAGTGCAGGTCTACTCTGACACACAGGAGTTGGAATTAACTTAAAGCAGCTATATTGCCTTTTTTTTCCTAAATATTTATTTTACAACTACACTTTTGCCTAATATTTTCAAAAGGTAAAAATGAGTGATACCTGAGGAAAAACACCAATAAGTAAATGTATTATAGACACTTGAATCACAATGATCAAAATTCCTTGAGAAATAGATTGTACAATCAAGTTTGATGAACTTATGCCTTCTTTCAAGTGTTATTTTTTTTCTTTTTTGCTTTTCAGTCAAGAACTTTCCTCTCTAATTACTACCGAGATCATAATGTAGAACTGTCCAAACTGCTGCATAGACTGGGGCAGCCTTTGCCATCGTGGCTGAGACAGGAGCTACAGAAAGTGAGATAGCATTGGAGACAAGACCAAGGCTCACAAGATACTTAATTTTGCTATTAAATAGAAGAAGAAGAGGAAAAAAAAAAAACTTTTATCCCCTAATGCACTTGTGATTGTCTGAAGAAGACTGTGTGAATAAATTTATTTCTATCTTTTTCACAAAATGAAACTGTTATATATGCACGTATTGGCAATTACTATCAATCCCTGTGTGATCTTTTGGGAAATAATGTGCGGTTTTGTGGCATTATCCAGTTTCTACTGTGACGATCATAACATAGCCCATTTCCTCTGATAACCAGAAGGTTTCAGAATTTCTATGTATGACTGGTAAGCCTCATTATATGCAAATGATAAATCATAGTCTTGAAGATAAAGATAGGGATTGAGCTAACTGTAAATGAGGTTAGTGGTAACCAGTATCTGAATTAAGGGCTAAAATTTTTTCCCTTGCTAATTTTAAAACATTTTGCTTTTGTTAGGAAAATAAGTTACATTAACCCATGCTCCTATTTTTTGGACATTTATTATTCTTTCAAAAAATAGCCCACATATATTTTCCTCCGTTGTTATTCCTCTTTATAAATTTCATTGACTTGTTAAAAAAAAAAAAGCTGTGATGTTCTTAACCTCCCATGTTTTATGTCTGTTTTCCTCTGTAGGAGGGAACTATTTGAAAGGTTTTAGCTTCACCAATACTGTTATTTTATCTGGCAAGGTATATGACTTTCAGTGACTTTGCTTAAGGCATTTGACTGCTAACCAGAAGGCTGGAAGTTCAAACCCACCAGCCACTTCTCAGAAGGAAGATTGGGCAATCTACTTCCGTAGTGATAACACCTCGAAAACCCAAGGAAAGGTGTCTATGAGTTGAATTCAACTCGATGGCAGTGATTTTTTTTTTTTTTTTTGCATTATGCTTCCAAAGAATCTGTTAGTGTTGGGATCAAGGAATGACAATGCACACTGTGCGTATATCATGAGTATGTGCAAGGCCACTTTAAAATGGGTCCAAAATATTACTAAACTATTAATGTATGTATTTCCACCTTGATAATGATGTAATGTGTGTGTATGTATATGTGTGTGTATGCATACACACACACACACACACACACATATATATACAAATTTTTTTTTTTACTGTCCAAGGTAGAAGAAGAAATATCTTTATTGATAAGGTATTGAATGAAAACACCAAGATTTATTTACAGGTATAGTGAGACATTCTTGCCTTCTAGATAGTATATGTTAATCATTTGTAAAGCAAGGATTTTTCATATTTACCAGAACATATACTATTGTGGAAGGTTGTGTTTTTAATGCCTATTAAAAAATATATATGTATAAGCTAAATCTTACCTCTTCAAACATGATTAATTCTTTAACCTAAATCCCATTTCTCATTCATACCATTCAAAAAATTTCTAGAGAAGTGATGATCTTTTTGTTAGAATTATGGGTTCCTCTTTTATGGTTATTGCCAGGCTGTTTTTTTTTTTTTTTTTTAATCCCACTTGACAATGAAGATTTATTAAGCTTTTGATCATCTTTTCAGTGATGAAGATAAAATTTCAACAAAATAGTAAATCAAATTGGCTTTGGTAACATTACCCATCAATCCAGCCTTCCTCTAGAGTGATTCTTCTATAGGCTATAAAGAATACTACTTTTTTTTTCTATGATCTGAGAAATTATTCTTGACATAATTCAGTAGGAAATCAAAAGTCTTTGTATTTGTTTTTGTTGTTATTTTAAGCAAGCAAACCAGATTTGGATGTTTTTAAAGAAGGTCATGATATTTACATATTTTATTTCAGAAATCAACTTTGCATATATACTTCATTAATAGTTGTGTTTTCCCACTGCATTTAGAAGTTTCTAATCTTTTTTAAGGAAATATAATTTTATGAGGATATACATTAATATTAATTTACAAACTGTTACTTTTCCTGTCCCTTTTTTAATGTGAAGTAGTAAATTCTCAGCTTTGTCCTGTCACTTAAGTGAGTGTGGGCTCCCCAGAATCCCACCGAGCACATAAAAATCATAATTACTGTGTATTTAAAGCTCTAACATTTGATTTATTTGTTCTTTAATTTCCTCCAGGTTATACTCTAATTCTTTCTTTCTTGAATAAAGATATATTATTTCCAAGTGGGATAAAATAGTTTTTATACAAGGGAAAGGAGATATATTTCATATCAAGTAAATTCATTTAACTCAATTTCTCCAAATCAGTTTTAGAAATGTAACTTCTATTCTGCATTTTTCCTAAATGATATATACAATATTATTCACCTCCCTATCTGAGAAGAAAAAATTTCCAAACATGAGCTAACACTTCTCCCTGGGTCACTTTAATCAGTGTGCACATTTTTTCTACTGTATTTGATAATGTAGACAACCAAATAAATTTTACTTATTTAATACATGTTAATCTTACAACATACTTCTTAGAGGGACTCAACTCTATGAGAAGATTATCATGAAACAAGAAATATTTCAGTTTTAAGAATATCTTGATTTTCCCAATTTTTACTCATTTACTACTCCGAATTGTTGGCTAAAGGTTTATTATACGTAGCTATTTAAAATTTTAAATAAACTATATCTCATGGTCTTGAATGGATTTTTTTTAATTTTAAAGAGCTTCCTAAAATCTTTATTCAAGCTAATTTCTTCTCTTCTTCCTTCTTTTTTAATTCCAATTGCCTAATTCAAAATTATAATTATTTATTACTTCACATCAATAAAAGTAGATGTACTTGTTATTGTGTCTACATCAAAATATAGTATACACTTATCAAATACCAGTGTAAAAATTTCTAAAACTTCTCTTATAAAACTCTTTCAAAAAAAAATTGTATGTAATAAACAATGGCCCAAAGAATATTAAATGAGGGACAAGGAAGAATGGTAGTGAAAAAAATTTTTATCACTATATTTTTCCTTGAAAAAAAAAAAGAAAGTTTTCCATTCAATAAAAGATTTGCCTCTATTTTAACAAACCTGTTCCAATTAAGAAGCTCTGGTGGCAATGCTTGATTGCTAACCAGGTCAGTGGTTCAAAACCACCAGTTGCTCTGCAGGAGGAAGATGAGATGATACTTATACAAAGATTTACAACCTTGGAAACCCAATGGGAGTCACTATGAATAAGAATTGACTCAATAGCAGTAGGTATGGTTGTTTTGGGTTTATATTACATTTACCTTATCTATTTCTGTTCTATCTCATTGTTTCAATATAGTACAAAGTGACTCATTTTCCATGAATATAGATTTATTTTTAAAGACAACAGTAATAATTGAGCTCTGGTGGCATAGTGCATACAGCTTTCAATTCAATAAAAAACTTGCCTCTACACTAATAATTAACAGTGGCAAATGTCCTAAATACTTTGTTTTTGGTGACTAAATAACATATTAAGCATTTATTTGACAGAATTGCCTCAAAAATAATGCTGGCCAATGATTTTGAAAATAAAAAATCTAAGAATCTAGCATACAGGATATTCTCTCAAAGAAAGAGCTTGACCATGATATACACACACACACATACATATTACATATATCCCTACACACACTAAACATTTGTGTGTTTTTATGCAAATGTATGTGCATATATGTGGTATCTAAGAAACTTTAACTAGCTTTAGATCATCTAAATTATATTTTCTTGTGTGAGACAGAAGAGAATTAGAAAGCAAAATGGAAACCCTGTATTTAAGGAAATTGTTAAAATAACTAATATAGTACACGCATAGCATATTCTTGGTTCTGACTTCAGAATAAATACTACTGCTGGTATGTCACTAGAGTAATGTTTTTTCTCCTTTAAAATGTAAGATTTGAATCAATAGTTGAATTATTTTTCTTTTCTTTATCTTTTTCACTATATATGAACTTCCTGATTTCTGAACATATAACAAATGTAACCAGAAAGCTATGAACATGGGCTTTGGGTATCTTTGTTCTCATCTATGTTCTTTCTTTCACTACCTCTGCGACACTGAGTAATTTGTAGAACTTACGGGAGCTCTGGTAATGTAGTGCCTAAAGCACTTGACTGCTAACCAGAA